CCTGTAGGATGAAGAACATTAGCTGCCATGAGGTATTAGCATGGCGCCAGGCACCACTTCACCTACACATCTTGCCAGTCTGTTGGAGCGAACTCTTGCCATGATGCTGCAGGAGACGGGGTGCATGGGACAGGGATGGGGAGCAGGGCCCCCCCTTGCTGGCACCACAGGGCACCTCATCTCCACCTCTGCTGTATTCCTTATTCATTCACATCTTGCAGCAGGGTGCCATTTATCTAGATGTGCCTGCTCAACAAAACCTCATTTTCCTAACTGCTATGATAGTCTCACCTCGACTGCTTTTTGAAAATAGAAAAATCCACGCAGCTAAAATGGAGCATTTTGATGAGTATCTTCATGCTTTTTCAGCTCTTTCTTTGCTTCACATCATAGAAAACTTCAGAACCTCACCTCAGCACCTGAAGCACCGATTTCAATTTACATTTATTTCAGACACCACAAAGCGAATCCCTAATTCCCCGAGCATTGTTAACTCTTCTCTTTTTTGAGGTAAAGAATGAAGAAAAGGGTCTGAAAGAAATCCACGTGTTGTACATAATAACAATTCACAGCGAAGCAAATACCCTTAATGTCCCAAGGAAAGTTCTTGCAATAAAATACATGCAGTTCTCTCTCTTTGGCAGTTAATTCCTATTTCACACTTTTTATCCACTGAGACTTTCAATTTTCTGAGCAAAATGAGAAAACGGCCTCTAGGTGCTTCATCCTCGGAAGCAGCAGCATTGGAGAGAAAGGAGTTTCCTCCTGAAACCTGGGGGATTCCTGGCCTCCTGCAGGTAAGGAGTGGGACACAGCAGGGAGGGAGGGGGAATTCGTCCCTTCCAGTGTGGTTACAGCAGGAAGTCTCCAAAGGAGAATTTTAAGGAACAGTCACTTAAACAAAATTGTGATGTATATTTTGACAGAAAAAAAAAAAAAAAGCCATAACTTATTTTTAAAGCTTGGAAAATGGAAAAATGGCTTTGTTTAATAGCAATGTATCTATCCCCCTTGGAATGTGAATGAAGATTAATCCTCCATCATGTTGGAAAAAACCTAGCTTTGAAATTACTGTTGCAGTGATTTTAAATTAGCATATACAGCATACAGCAGAGTCAGTTCTTTTCCTCTGAGTGTGTCCACTCTGGGCACTTTTTAGCTCAAATTTAATTGACTGTCAATTAATGTAAAGTAGTCACACATTTTTAAGGTTAGTGTAGACACTTTCCTGTATTAATCTCTGTTAGCTGATAATTAATCTGAGATACCTACCACCACCCAACCCCAGAGATAGTTTTATCTACCAGATATATGAGGTGCTTGTTACTGAAAAGAACAATTACATCTTCATTCAAAAATAGCTGGGGAGCAGTATTTAATTAGAGCTACATGCTGTATATTGTGGACAACTGACTTACATAGAGACAGGGACTTGAGTGGTCTGAGTTATATATCCAGCTTTGCTGTCAGGTGTGCAGATCACCTTGGGAAATTATTTACATCTTTGTGCTTCTCTTTTGACCTCATCCCTAACACTGACAAAAGTGAATGAAAAATGTTGTATCAAGCCAGTATTTTTTTTTAATACTATTAGTGTCTTTTTTTTTTTTTTTTTTTTGGGTTGGTTTGTTTGTTTTAAAGGAAATTTCAGAACTAAAACAAAATATTTCCCCTCAAACATTTGACCTGAAGTTACTTGTGACTTTCTTTGAACAATTGAAAGCATTGTGAGAAGTCAGTCTCTGCAAGCACACTGCTGTTCTTGCACCCATCTGGCTCACCTATCATCATTTGGAACAGGACAGAGGGAATGAACAGGTGCTTTTGCTCTTGCATGACGTTTCCCAATCAGTCTGTACAGCCAGGCATGGCTCAAAGATAATGCCAGGCTCACTGCAAGCAAAGACTGTTTGGCACTCTCACTGTTGCTTCCCTTGTCTCAGAAAAACAGCTACTACCCACAGAAAAAAGCATCACCTCGCTTTACAACTGCTCTGCACCTCCGCATAGCCCAGCCCTTTACGAGGAGCCCTGATATGCAAGCTGGTACGTACAGGAGAGCGAACGGCTTCATATAAATGCCAGAAATGTGCATTTCATGTCCTATCTTGTTTCTGAAAGCAAGCAGAACCAGCTGCTAATACTCTAATGCTGAGAGCTGGTGAGGCGCACACCGCTAGATGTGGCTGAGCCCGGCAGTCCTTGAGAGGGCTGAGTGCTGGCCGAGCCTTTGGCTTTCTGCTGGTCAGGACCCCGCATCCCAAAGTGCTGGTGGCTCGTTCTTAGATCCTGAAAACAAACGTGTTGCCCACTGCTATTATGACAGATGCTGCAGAAACCATCAGGGCCTCTTTTATTTGCCTGACTTAAGCAAAACTCTTAATCAAGAGAGACTAAGTGGATTATTCCAGCCTGACTGTTCTGCTCTAAGGACCCCACTGTGTTCCTTGCATCAGGACTCGCACCAACACTTCAACAGCTAGATTTGCTGGACCCACAAAACTCTCAAACCTCAGCGAATACCTCAAAACTGAGGTGTTACAGCATGCTCAGCAAGGCCACAGGCTGGACTGGGCTGGCCAGTCTTCCCAATTCAACCATACAAATACATATTGGCCATTCTGGGGGAGTACATCCTGGGAAGCTGGTGCCCCATGGTTTGCAAAGATGAGCTTCAGCTTTGTGATTCACTCCAGAAATCCCTTCTAGTCTGCAGATAACCCCGTGGCTTGAGGAATAGAAATTTCTGCAAAGGTGATTGAAGAAAGCCCCTATACAAACACTGGAAGTGTCTTAATCAAGTTCACTAACAGTGCTACTGTGAAGTGATTGAGTTTTAAGTAAAAAAAGCCTTTTTTTAAAAAAAAGGAAGGTGGATACTTTCTATTGATTCTTTTTTTCTTCACTCAGGATTTTTTTTTTTTTCAGTGAAACCATAAAGCAACTTTCACTGCAATATTCTTGGAAATAAATGGACCACATATTATGCACATTCATTTAAACCCACCAGATCTATTTAAAAAGAATAGGAGCTGATTGAGTTAGCTTTCTGTAATTGAAAAGGAGCTTGGCTGTACCAGTCTTTTCACAAAATAATTTGTCTGCTTGAAAGTTGGATCATCAGCTGCAGTTAAAATTCATTCTGCTTTCAAGATGCTTGTTTTGTGTCTCCAGTCTAGTTTTTTTCCTGCACCATCCCGAGCTTGGTTTTTATAACTTGAACAAACTTTGGTGACTTAAATAAAAGCCTGTGAGGAGCAGCCCTGCTGCTAATCCAGTCTAACCCTGGCCTTGAGCCCTGCCCCATCGCAGTGGTTTATGGTTTGAGAAGGGTTTGTTTAGTAAGGATGCTTATTTAGGGTTCAGAATAAAGCCCTGGTATACTTCTTGGGCCCACAGCCTCTGCTGACTACTCACATAAGTCAGCACCTGGCTCCCATGAACAGGTCTGGGAAGGGCCTCTTAGTGCCCAGGGATATCCCCCAGATGTGGCACTGGGAGCTCAGCACCCCAGAGGTACTTTGATGCTCATTTCCATGAGCCTCACACCAAGGGATGTGCTTCCTTCTTGCATTAGTCAGATTTCCCTCCCAGGAGGTAACACCAGGGGAAGATTGGGGTATCCCAGCAACATCCAGGCACAGCCAGAACCTCGGTGGCACCAGAGTGCCTCGGTGGTGGCTGTCACCTCCAGAACGAGGAGCTGAGATGCATGTGCCCTCAAAACCTTGAGCGGCAACATCACTTTGCAAGTGAGGAAGGAGGAAAAACAAACTGATCGAACAGCCTCAGCCCCAGGGAGTTCTGGCAGTCCTTTAACATGAGTAAAAGTGATATAAACCATGTCTGTGGATCAGGACAAACGGCCAAACTAGCAGACACTTGGTCAATTGTCCCCCAGGCCTGCAGAGGGGACCGCAGTGCAAATGAAAGGCTCAGGGATGCTGCCTGGCCCACGGTGGCACTGAGGGCTGGGAGAGGAGCTGGCATGGGGCTGTGCTTCCAGAACCTGACAGCATTCCTGATTTGTAGCCTTGTGGGAGGAGAAGCAGTCAGAAATCAATATTAGTGGATTTCAAATGAAGTCCTAAATTATCTCACCTTCGGTCATAGTGGATTAACTCCAGAATGTTTCCTAAAATAATTATTGGCTTTATATGCAAAGGAATTATGTAGTGGATATAGCGTTATGTATCCCATTGCCAAAAGGGGAAGAAAAAGATTCCAGGAAATGGCATCTTTTTTTATTTTTTTTTTGTCTGCTAGGTTCTATGTAAAGACCTCCACGCTTACCTCCTAGAGAGCTACTGGTGAAAATATGATGCGATATTATTTGTGGAGTAAGAACCACTGCTGCAAGTGATATAGATACAAAAATGATATCATCCATCAAATACAGAGGCTTTATAAATATCTGAATAGAGAATGATGTGCAAGTTGTTTTTCCTATTGGCTTTGGGACCAGGTGTCAGTAGACTTAATCAATGTACACATATATTAGTGTAATGCGAGTGAATCTTTATTACAGTAGAAGAGAAACACCTGTGATAGAAAAAGAGCAATATAAATACTTCTTCATCTCAGCCACAGCTGCTCTGGGGTTCTTGTGCTGAATTCTAAGAGATAGTAAAACCCATAATCATTTCCTTCTTCTGTAGCCTCCAGCCAAAACACAATTAGAATAAAGCACTGAGCTCTGCAAAAAGGAAGAGGTAAAACCATAACCCCAACACTATCTCCAGGGTGGGACAGGGATGAGCTTGAAGATGGCAGTCCCCTGGGTGAGAAACAATACTTTAGCCATGGGCATAACACCAGTCCCTAGCAGAAGGTCTATGGTAAGGCCAAAAATCCTCAACCACCACCCAGGGCCAGAAGCAAATAAGCACAAGTGCAAGGCCAGAACCCATACAGCTTCTGGGCCAATGGTTGGGGTGCATGGGTGGGGGTCTCAGGTGGGGCTGGTAAGGATAATTAGTGCCTATTAATGCACTCAGTGTCTCATGCTTTAAAAGTGCTGGAGTTAGAGCTGTATTTTTTTAGAAGGTTTTAGTCCAGGTTGCAGTATCTTATTTGCTTCCTACTTCCCAGAAGTGCTCCTCAGGTAGGTACCATGCTATGGTAAACCTCTGTGAGTTCAGAGACCTAAATATGCTTTACTTAATGCTTTTAATGCTGCTATGCTATGACTGCTATTAGAGAGCAGGTTGTTGGTGGAACAGGTCTTCTGACAGTGCTTTGAGAGAAAGCTATAAATTTCTTCACCAGTTCTTGTAGTTTATAGACAACCAATTTAACTCTGTCAGCAATTATTGAAGGCTCTGGGTGAGGGTGGTGAAGCCTGGCAGGTGGCTGGATGTTGCACAGCTGCTCCTTAAAAATTCAGATCTGCTCACAGTGAAGAAGGTTGTGGATGGGTTACAACCTTTCAGTAAGCTGTCTTTTTTGAGGTGGATTTGGCTGTGTCCAACTGTTATGAGCGGAGTATGGCACTTCTAGAGCTGTGTGGGTGGACTGACAGCCCTAAATGTGTGAGGGATATATCTTTTGTCAGAATGACATCTGAGATGTAGGTGTATAGAGGTGCCAGTGGGTGACCAGGTCAACCTGGAGAAAGTGTCTACTGGAGGTCATGGTGCTGTGTATGCCCCACTCACTCCATTGGTATGTGGGTCTGAGCAGAGTCAGGTTTGCCTTTGGAGGAGGTCTGGGAGCTGTTTCCAAAATCCAGTTGTGAACTGGGCCCTCTGGTCAGTACTGGGAGGCTGAGGCATCAGCAAACATGCTGCAGTGGATGTTGGGCTGTGGTCAGCTTCCTAGGGGAAGTTACTGGCCCCATCCCAGCCAGGCCTCAGCCAGGTGCTTAGCCCTTCAGATTGTCCTCTGGCATTCTCTCCCCTTTTTGTGAAGAAAATAGCTCCCACCAGTGAGTGTCAGGAACTTTTGGTATGAGCAGTCATAGCCCAGTGCACTTTTCCTTAAAGAAGCTTAAAAAAAATCAAACTCCATACCTTGATGCACACATTTTATCTAGTAATTAAAGGCTCTTATCGCACCAAGCTCTGGTTTAAAAATAGTTCACAATCCCCCATGGACTACAGAGTGAAAAAAAGTCTTTAAGCAATGTACGATAGAGAAGCTTATGTATTTCCTATCACTTCTGCAAGCTGTGTGGAGAGCCCTTTCCCAAGGAGGGAATCTGGAGAGACAGTGTCAGTGGGAGAAGGAAGAGGAAAAGAGAATCACAACAATGAAATATTCATTCCTTTCTAAAATAAAAATAGCTTGAACTCTTCATGCATTTATCATTCCAGCTGGATGGGGGTGGAGAGACACCCCTAGTGCAGAAAGATTCAGAAGGAACCAGTGATGAAGTCCCTCTTGACTTAAAGCAATCCACTGTGAGCAACCCATGAGGTCAGGCAATGACATGGGGTTTGTCCCCTTCCCTCTAGGCTTGGTGGTGGCTGTTTCTGGAGCTCTTTTCTCCTAGGGCACCAGAAGAAGCAGGGCTAGGGCCATCACCCTCTATCTACTATTTTTAGCTGTGAAAAATTAAAATTCAGTGTGCTGATGAGGAAACCAAGGTGGGTTTTGCAACAGGAGAAACCTGCCTTCCACCTTACCCTCCACAACCCTGAGGCCTCTCCAAATTTTGTCATTCCCAATTTCTGAAAAATATCAGCGTCTGTGTGTGGAGTACCATAATGCTATGGTTAGAAGTCCCTCCTAGGAGATGGCTAAAGAATAGAAGTGGGCATTTATTGCTTTATTCTGCTATCGATTCAGCTTGATGATGTTGCATGGGCAAAGCCACCCCGTGTGGAAGTGCTGCAGGAAGGCCTGCTCCTCCCCGCCTCTGCACGCCACACACATCACCTAAATTACACGCACAGCTGTTCCAGCACCAATTAGTCATGTGATATTTGAAACATCAAATATTCTTTCTCTGCTTATCAACACTGTAATTATGGCCTGTCAGGGCTTTACGCTCTTCTTAAAATAAACATCCAAATGCTTGTGTTAACCCTTCAGTGCTGTGCTGCTGCCTTCCTGCAGCAGCTCAGGGACCTCGGGGCCCATGGCATGGGGGGCAATGGGGGATAAGGGCAGTGATGGGTGTAGGACCTGAGGTGCCAAGGCCATGGTTAGGCCCCTAGAGCTCTCAGCCATCTACTTCAAGGCCTTAGCAATATGTCAGCCTTATTCCTTTCCTAGCATACAACAATTTTGAAGCTAACTTGGCTATGACAAAGCCTTGCAGCATCCTGGGCAGAAGAGATACCTCATTTGAGACCATCTTTTTCTTTTTTTGCCCTGCCAGATGTTTTTTCTATTTAATTAAAACTTTACAGGAAATAACCATATTTTGATTCTGTTTTCATTTTGCGTACTAAGTCAGTTTACCTTTGAGCCATTGTCCAGAGCTGCTTGTGCTTTCAGTTTATGAAAAGGGTATGAAAAAACAAGGTATGAATTTTTTAAGACTTCTGAGAAGAATTTTTTTCTGCAGTTTCGTGTAGGAAAAGAGGCTTATTTTCTCAGTCAGCACTAGTGCTAGCTCATGCTGATTGCGCAGCCCCAAGCACAACGCAAAACCTCTCACCCAGGCAGGAGATGTAAAGACTTTGCCTGCTTTGTTTCAGTGGCCAGTCAGCTCCTGTGCACTGGGCTCTGTACAAGATACAGCTGCTGCCACCCTCCCTGGAGCTGCTGCCCCGCTGTGACCAGTGCTGTGATGGCTCGGAGGCCTTGTGGTGCTTTGGGGCTGCAGGAGGGAGAGGTCAAGCTTTGCTGAATATGTGCAGCAAGTGCGCGCACTGCTGCAGGCTGAATTTTGCAGATGCAAATGATCTGGGTCATCCCTCCCAAGTCACCTCTGCTTTTTCATAGGATGAGCTTGGCAGCCTGTACTCACAAAGGACTGCGGCTGTGTCTGGTTGGGAACAAGGGGCTACCCTGGGATACCCCCTCTGACCTCACAGGGCACTGGGGCCCTGGGTGCCGTTTGGGCTTTGAATTCCCCAGCACTAAACTTGCCCCAAATGGCTGGTAAGTGAGCAGAGGCTGCAGCAGAGACCCTGTATGCTTGCTGGCTTTGAACAACAGGCCAGCTCTGTTCTCCCCTTCCTGGTGACCTTAGTCTCTCCACTCTTCACGCTTCCGTTGGCTTTGCTATGCAGCATTCTGTTCAGAAACTTGATGCTACTCAGCGCACTGCAGTTAATAGTGGTGACGTGCAGGCTTGTTTTTTCCATTATTCTCTATTGCTGCTTAATGACCTAAACATCTTGTACACTTTTGATAAGTTGGCTGAGGTGTACAGATTCAAGTCCAGGAGCTTCTCCCACACAGGGCCCTTGGAGCTGAGCAATGAGGCAGCCCATCTGCAGCACTGAGGGCATGGCAGCAGCAGGGTAGCTGTGTCTCACTGTCCTGGGAGCAACCCTGCCTTGTGGGCACAGTTCCCACCTCACACAACAGCATGGAGGCCCTGCCTCAGCAGCAAATGCCAATACAGGTGGTGGTGTTGGCTAGGAGTAGCTAAGAGAAGCTCACCTCTGTCTCAGCTTCTCTTTCTGGGTGCCCCATTTTATCCCAGTCTTGTGACAACTTATTTAGTGAAGGGCAGAGCCTGGCTTGCATCCTGAATAGCAGCTCTAGCCCAATCTGATGCTGTGTCTGTGTTGGGAGTCACCCAACTTGCACTTCTATTATTTATAAGGATAATCTGACCTCGGTGCCAGGGAAGGTTATGGATCAGATCATCACACAGCACATACGGTGGCACTAAGGGACATGGCTTAGTGATGGGACTCGGAAGTTCAGGTTGATGGTTGAACTTGATCTGGAAGGTCTTTTCCAACCTAGATGAATCTGATTCTATGATTCTAAGGATATTTTAAGAATGTGTTTTCAGGCAATCCTTTCCTGCCATCTATTGTTTTGCCTTTCTAGGGTGGCAGGAATTATGTTTACAACAAAAAAAAAAATGAATGAAAGTAAGAAATTACTTTAAATTTCAAACACAAGTGGTCCATTGAGGCTTGGTGTGGGCGGAGGGGATGCAAGGCATGGTGCTTGGGTGGCACTGGTGTGGCTTGGGCAGGTCAGCTGTGAGCTGAGTTGCCTGACCTCAGCACCAGATCTTACAAATTCAACATCCAGCCTAGCAGACCTGGAGCCTGTACCTGCTGCTATGTGCTTAGACACCCAAGGATAGTGAGGATGCTGTTGTCGGCACTCATCCCTTACAAGGCACAGGCAAATTGGCTTGGACGTGCTGACTGCTGCTGGCAGGTACCCAATTAACCTTGCTAATCAGCTGCTTTTTGAGGAGGAAAGTGTACTGCTCCTGCAGGGACTTCATTTTTTACTTCAGGTTGATTGAGATTCATGTACTTCAATATTTTAGCATTCCTCTGTTAACAGTATTGGGTCTGGCTGGAATGTGAAGGGTTTTTCCTATGCCAGAGCAAGGCAAAGTTTTTCCTTGGAAGCTGGCATTCCTGCAAATCAGGTCTGGGCTGGGGAATGCTGAGAACTTAATACCACTGGAGGAAATATAGAGAGAAAGAGAAGAAAACCTATAGGGAAGAGCCTCTCATGGGATAAAATAGCAAAGAGAAAACAGGATTCAATACAGCATTTTGTAGAGCTCTGAAGTTCACATGTGTTTTGCTGAGGCTGATCCCACAGGCCCCAGCTAAATGTGGGTCCTGCCAAGTTGCATGGTAATTTAAAACTCAAAGATAAACTGCGCTGGAGAGTGCTGGTGCCTGTCCCAAAAGCACAGAACAGCTTTGGTTGGCAGGGTGGGCTGGAAAAGCCTGGACTTCAATTATTGACTGCCAAAGAATGTGTATGCAAGGGCTGCTGCCTGGTGAGCCCCTCGGCAGCAACCAGCCCTGGGGGCACAGCTGGTGGCAGCAGGAGAGGGGTTGGACTTTGGATGTTATAGCACACTAAAACCAAAACTTGGCCCAAACCAGGGCTGCATTAAACTTGGAACGTTTTATTACTCCTTTTTCCAGAAAGCACCCTGCAAAAGGAGCATTTTTTCAGCTGCATCATGATGAGCTGCAAACCTCTTCTGCAAGCCTG